CATTCATTCAAACTTCGCTGGTTCTTTAACTTCGCAGATGCATCGTATACCACGCGTCCTCGCTTACCGGCTTGTTTTATTAAATGATGCGGTAAATAATGAATCGGAGGTCCTTTTTCATTTTCTGCATTCATTTGTGGGTCTATTACTTCGATAATTCCGGAGTCACATTGTTCCCTCAATATCTCGTCATATTCTTGTAATGTAGCAAAATCTGAACGTTGTAATAAACCTTTTAGTCTACCATAAGCTAAGCCATAATTTGTTGGTAAGTTTGAAGTATGCTGCGTCCATGGCCATTTTACATAGTACCTCCCTTCATGGTATTGAACTGTATCATTAAAATGATGAACGGCTTCCTCTTCTCGTGTTGTTTTTGCAGAGTCGGTTATGCCAATATTCTCTAAAGTCCACAAGAATTTGATGTCCATATTTTGTAGAGGCAGGTCAGGGTCGGTAAAATATGAATAACCTGGATCAGATTGGTGGTATGTCACTACTGCGAGGGTATTTTCATCTTTGCCAGTATCCACACAGCCTGATAAAATCCAGCCAAATTCAGTATCAGCCAAATATAACTCTTCATCCAACTTAATCCTTTTCCCTGTGATAAATGAGAAGTAATAATCATTACCGATAAGAATGTCAATTCCTTGACCACATGAGCCATCATCAGCCATAACATCGACTGAGTCTAAGGAAGTTATCTGTGGTACCGGTATCCTCTCTGTAATGTTGGGTACAATATTGACCTGTATCTGTTTTTGTATGCTTTTATTGGTTTCTATTGTGATCTCGATTGAAGGGCTGAGCATTTCCAAAGGGTTTTCTGATCCAAAGGTGTAAATCATTAGCAGGTCTTCTCCAGAAGGTGTTATGGATAGCAGGTTTGCTAGGCGTGTAGTTATGTAGCTTCTCTGGCTACCACTATCCATGAGAATTCTGCAAGGATGTTTCTTATTGTTACTCAGGACCCTTGCCGTTGCCGTCTGTAAGAAGGATCTACAGTTATGACTGTGACATGTAACATTTGGTATTTTAGTAAGACCAGTATTCATACCTGATATCTTCTTACGACATAGGGCGCGGTTATGGGGTCCTGTGCAGTGATAGCATATTATCCTTTTTTGACACTGCTTACTTCTGTGTCCTTCTTGAAAGCATTTGAAGCACCTATTCCCTATCTTCTTGATTCTCTCTTCCATACTTTTAAAGGTATTACACTGGTCATTATAATGTCCACCATCACAGAATATGCAGGACCTACGTGTTCTTTTCACATTGCTATCTGCGCCAGTTGTAATATTTCGCTTCAATTGTATTTTGTCACGACAGCTGGCATGTTCCTGTGATGTTCCAGTTTTTACTTTATTGTTATGCCAGTTCCTTCCTTTATTGCGCGTTTGTGTCCGTATGTGTAGGGCATCCGTTGAGCATGTTGGTCTGTTTTCTGACACCACATCTGACTTTGCTTGAGATAATTCCATTGCAGTGATTATGTTATCAAGCTGCTCTCGTATTGCTAAGACTGTACTATCCCTTTTAATAGCAATATTCAACTGAAACATTACTTTCTCTGGAAACTTGTTCAGCAATATAGTCCGGAACCCATTGCCATTTATGTCCTTGCCCAGTGACTGCAGCACTCTCATATTTTTCTCAATGCTGTTGAGGACTCGCCTACATTCACTAGGTGTCTCCTTAGCACACTCCAACTGATGTAGCGCATTGTAGTGGGCATCGACTAGGAACTGCTTGTTGCCGTACCGGTTTTTTAAAGTTTCTACTGCAATGCCGTAGTTTTGGTTGGTTGTTCCCAAACCCTCGATAGCTTCTAGAGCTGAACCTCTCAGTGACGCAACAAGGTAGGCCATCTTCAATGCGTTGTTGGTGGTTGCCATATGCACACTTGCTTCGAACTGGTCCCAAAAATCATGCCACTTAAGAATATCTCCTTCAAATACAGGCAGTTGTAGTTTGGGCAGTTTTGCACAGTTACTCTGCCTCGGCTGCTCGCATTGTTCTTGTGAAAGGTCCATAATGGCCTTTTCAGCTTTGAATTCCAGTTCTGTATATTCCTTAATTATGTCCGTTGATACTTCAGCAATCATATCAATGTAGCGGAGGACTTCTTCCTTGAACTTTGATGTGACTACACTCAACTCATATTTGATCCTCTTGACTTCTGATAAATCAGCTCCTCCATGTTCAACCTGTCTCAACACCTCCAAAGCCTTAAGAAAGGTTGCATTCAGCTGATTTTTGCTAAGCTCAAGCCGTATACGAAGAGCCTGTTCCATTTTGCTTTCCTCTATGTGACGCTAACTGTAATTTTTATTAAACAAATTTAATTTAACATTATGTAAACCAACTATTAAGTAAATACAGTATGCAATATCTAACCAAGAGAATGTTTACAATGTTACTTGATAAATACTTGCCTCCAAGTTTTTTAGCGATTTGCAACGAGTACTTCTCTTAGGCAAACTTTAAATTCTTAGAACTTGAACTAGCGTAATTCCAATTACACACTAATTAAATCTTCAAATTTAATCGTCCGAAAGTAGTGGTATTTTCGAGGTGCCGACTGTAATAAACACAGTATCATTTAGATGTACATAGAAACACCATATAAAATTCAACATAAAAAATGGCTGCTTTTACCACATATTCGTACCAGAAAATTTTCTACGAATATTTGAATATCTCGGTTTTAAACAACTCCCTGTCCACTATCCAAGGACGCTACGCTCAGTATTTCCAAATTTGTATAATATAACTTCCGTAACACGCGTTTTCATATAGCTACCAAACTTTTCACAGCACACGAAAATTTTCACTGCTAACTTAAAACTTTTACGAAACAAACAAGTTGTTTTTCTTTCTTTACCGGAAATCACGAAACCACGCGGTGTTTTGTTTTTAATGTACACTTATTTGTCGGACGACGAAAAATCGACCAATCACAAAATTACATTAAGTATAAACAACCAATAAGGGCACAGATATGATACTCGAAATAGCGTTTCGTATTCTCATATATATTTTAAACAACAAGAACAGACTGCAACAAATTTCTTTTATTTTTTTTTTATTTTTTTACGGGCATGTGCTAATAAATAAAACGCAACAATGTTCCTCTATTTTTCAATAAAGCTGACACTACTGTTAATTAAAATATATGTTTGATACTTACATATATTTTAATAAATCTAAGGCCTTAATATACATTTCATGCGAAGGTTTAAAACCAATTATAACATTACTTTCACATTTGTTAATAAGCAACGTCAGTACAACTTGAAAATGTAACTTTATTGAACTGAAACCTTTGTATTTTATACCAAGTAATTCTTTCCATTATGCCAAGGTATTGTTACTGTTAAATCCAAGTGCATGCTGAGAGTGCGACCTCGGCAGCGGCAACATGAGGTTCGCACCCCATCACGTGCCCCAAACTCATATTATACCGACTAGATTAGGGCATGTTAGCCAGTACAAATCCTGTCTTTTCTCCTTGTTACCTATCAGCAGAGAACGTCGAAGGACCGCTAATCAGAGGAAACCAACATCTCTGGTTAGCAACGCGTGAAGCTCGCAAGCTAGCACACGCCTGTCTTATACCTCGACGGCTGACGGAATGGACTCACTCTGGTATACTGTAACTGCTGGCGAGGGGACTCCTAACTATCCCGATGGCAGCAGCGCGTGGAGGACGCTACCCGTCACGTGCCTTGTCACAGCATGCCATTCGACTGCTACGCGCCTGTCGATTTACTGGCGGCTACCAGAGTTGGTCTTTCTCTCCGCCAGCAGCACAATAACTCAACATGTGCCCTCTCTCTATCTAGCAACGGCTGACCCAGAATTCGTCTCTGGACAGCAGCAAGTGGGGGACGCTGCCCGTCACTTGCCTGTCGCCATCCCTACCTACACTAATTACTCAAAGACAACATCTTATTACTCTGTGTTACTTTAACCAGCACCTTCACCAATTTTGTCGCCACGTTTTATATCCTACATGTTTTGTCATGATGTCGGATAGCCTTGGTTCAATGTAATGTCAATTCTCATATGCGACAAAGTCTCATGCTTAATAATATGATAACATAGAGATATAGGGATTTATAATTGCGCTAATGCATACTACAATTATCGTTAAACCTTCTGCGTGCCTCGACCGACACCACAAGTAAACCCGAGAGCCACATGGTGGTTGGATCCTCTCATCAGACGGGCACACCTGTTGCCAAGAGCGACGCGCAGAAGATTGGGGCCCTGAGGCCCCATGTTGATCCTCCACCTTCCCCTTAGATCAACCCAGACCTCCAGCAAGATACAATAATCTTTTCATCTATATCTCAATATTACCATATCTCTTTATTAGTACAAACACTCACCAGATTAGAAAACACTTCACCATCTGCTTCGCACTAACTACACCTCCTCTCACCCTTTTTGCTACTCTAAAACTAATCTCAGTCCTTTTTTCTCTCTAACGTTCCTTTCCTTTTAAACAGTATCATTCCCCCCATTCCTCCCTCTGTGTTGCCATTTTTAACATTCCGTTCAGAAAGAATATAGGCACTCACCAGTAGCTGTCAATCGCGATCGTACGCGACACTCCCGGCGGCGGCTTGGCTTACAGCAAGGCGAACAGCTGCCGAGTCCACTCAGCAATCTTCTCCCTCGCTCGTACAGCTGCGTTGCGCCTTACTCTCCCATCCTCCGCTGGAGACTCAGGTCCATCCTCGGCTGAAGACTCAGGTCTACCATCGTTATTGTCCTGATTGGAAAGTTCTGCACCAGGAGCATCTACTGGGGATGTATTCACAAGCTCATCTCCTACGTCATTCATTTGATCCTGATGTGATCCAGTTATTTCTTCAATAACTCCTCCAAGTTGCTCTACATCAATGGCTACTTGATCTTGAAGAGGGTAGGCAGGTATTTGGTCAAGCTCCACTGCCGTAGGAACTTCAGGTACTTCAGGTAGGTTTACACTATTAGGTGCACCATTATATTCACTCACAACTTCGGCTTCGAGTGGGTAGAGATGACCAATAGAGCGAATGAAATCAGTATTTTCCACTCTGACTCTTGCCACTCTAACTTCTCCGTCCGATCCTTTGATCAACTCTGATATCCTTCCAACTTTCCATTGATTCCGGTTTTTCTGTTCACCTTTAATTTGCACTATATCGCCTACACAAGGTTTGATGTGTGACATTACTCTGGGTTGTTTGGGCGAGTGCTGATACTTTTCTCTAAGGTTGAGAAGGTATTGCCCAATAAACATGTTCTTAAACTCTTTCATCACTTTCTGGCCCCTTCTCCATCCTTCAACGAGGGTTTCCTTTGTAATGGTTGCAGGAGTCAACTGGTCAATAGGCAGATCTAACTCTAAACATTTACCCATCGATAAAAAGTCTGCCGGTTTCAAAACATAGTCCACGTCTGCTCCCACATAAGTAAGAGGTCTTGTGTTGACTACGGCTTCCACTTCCTTCAGGACCGTCAACAGCTGGTTGTCGCTTAACAGGTGCTTCTCCAATGTCCTCTTCAAACAGTGTTTCACCACCGATACAAGTCGCTCGTACACGCCACCATGCCAGGGTGCTAATTGTGGTATAAATTTCCAAAAGATCTTATTTTGTGTACAGTAGTTACTTGACAAGACTTCAGACATCAATTTAAACTGCATCGCGTTGTCAGACATTATATGTGAAGGGGCTCCTCTGGAAGCCACAAATCGCCTAAGTGCCAGTAGGAATTCCTCCGCTCTCATATCTTGTACTACCTCCAGATGAATGGCTCGTACCACCAGACATGTAAATAAGCAGATCCACCTCTTTTCTTTGCCATTACTTGTTTCAACATGCATTGGGCCAAAGTAGTCTACGCCTGTATATGTAAATGGACTTGAATACTTTACTCTTTCAACTGGCAGAGCCGGGGTTTTAGGCAGCTGGTATGGGCCTCCGCCGTGCTTAATACACTGTGGACATTTTTGAATAACCTTTCGAACCTGTACTCGACCTTGAGGTATCCAATATCGGTGACGTATTACACTCAGTGTATGTGGTACGCCTACATGGTAGTGGCTTTCATGAGCATCTTTTATTATCTTTGTCGTGAATTCACAATCCTTCGGTAGTAAGATCGGATGCTGAGTTTCGTATGATAAGTCCGCGTGCATCAAACGACCTTTACAACGAAGAATACCGTCTACATCTTTAAACAATCCTAGGTTTCGAGTCAGATGTGTTTCTTTGCCCTTGAATTCTTCAGGAAAGTGACTGGATTGCAAATCTATGATTTCCTGTAGTTGAGAGTTCATCTGTACCACTGGCTGTGTCCTCTCAGTTTCTTCACTAGGTCTATCGTCGAGAATTAGTGTCTGTACCTCGTCCAGACCCTCCGCCGCTGCTGAAACAGACACGACGTGGTCTTCCAGGTGCATATTTCTCGGCCACGTTCTTTTGTCTGCGGCAAGAAATGCTGGTCCATGGAACCATAAATGTTTTTTCTCGATCCATGTTTCTGGCCTAGTTGCAATATCTGCAGGATTATGCTCAGTGTTGATGTAGCACCGATGTACTTCCATGTTCTGTTTTATTTCTTCCACTCTTCTTGTAACAAATGGAGGCAATAACTTTTTAGATTCTATCCAACTGAGAACGACCAGACTATCAGTCCAAAGAAATTGTTTAACATTAGGGAGTGCTATGGACTTAACTAGGTAGGTGAGCAGTCTGTTACCAATCAAATAACCAAGCAACTCTAACCTTGGTATCTTTAAGTTTTCTTTATCTTTCAGTGGAGCTACACGAGCTTTTGACATTAGCAGTGTCACTTGGACGCCACTTGTATCTTCAGATCGTAGATACGCAACAGCTGCATAAGAGTTTTGGCTTGCGTCAGTGAAACAGTGTAGCTCAAACTTAGCGTTTTCCTTTTCCTTATCATGGCCTAGATGTCTTGGTAATTTAATATGTTTAATGTCGCTTAAATTTGACACTGTGTCTTTCCACTGAGATAGAAGATCTTCAGGTAGTTTGGTTTCCCATCTGTACTTTTTTCGCCATAGTTCTTGAAGTAAAAGCTTAGCCGGCATTGTCAAAGGAGACACGAAGCCACAAGGGTCGTAAACGGAGGCTAAAGTTCTTAAAACTTCTCTCTTGTTAGCTTTCAATATCCTTGTCTCATTAAATATGTCCTCCTTGAGTTTCAACTGAAGTGTATCGTCTTCTACATTCCAAAGTAAACCTAATACCTTGACTTGGTCTAATTCTTTGGCCCTATATTGCTCAGGTATTTCCTTCATTAGGGATTTATCATTGGAAGTCCAATCTCGAATATTCATTGACAATTCTTGGAATGCGGTCTTAGCTTCAGCATACAATTCGCGGGCTTCATGTATGTTATTGGCGCTCGTAACTAAATTGTCCACATAGCATTTATCTGCAATACGTTCCAAAATACCACCATTCTTCTTAGACAAGTGGTAACGTATAGTAGCTGTGAGTAGAAAGGGGCTAGAAATAATGCCGAATGGTACACGACAGAATCTCAAGTGAATAAGATTGTCATCTGAAATCGGTTTCGTGATATCTTTTATCCATAGAAACCGAGTCACGTCTCTAGCTTCAGCCTGTAACCCAACTTGTAGAAAAGCCTTTTCAACATCCGCAAGTATCCCAATTTTATTTATTCTGAAGTTCAATAATAAGGCAGTCAAGTCTTGTAGCATACATGGCCCTTTGTACAT